TTCAAGGAATTTCTCTAAAGAGAAAAGAGAAGTACAAAAAAACCAAAAACAACAACAACAACAAAACTATATGCATGATACCTCCAAACAAGGGAATATTATGTAACATTAAAGTATAAATTTATTGACAAGAAAAGATAGCCATATATTTTAGAAGCAAAAAGACTATTACAGTGGCTGCTATTTGTTTTACATTTAAGTAAAATTTTGGGGTAAAATTACTGGTATCATGGCATACCCTGAACGTTACCTAATTCAGCATCTATTTCCTCCTTTCCCTCCAATCCATCTGTATTAGTTCTCAGCCTCCTTAATAGCTAGAATAGGCTATCTGACACAATTATGGCTATTGAGACTTAAGTAGAAATTTCCTCAAAACATTATAGAAACATACCTTTCTAATAAAAGTTACAGTCGTTGCTATAGCTATCTCTTTCCCCTACCCCCTGCCTTGTAATTACTTATGATGACTGATCTGAAGTAGCTTATTGCCATGGAACAAGCCAACACACTAGAAAAGGCACAATGCAAAGAAAGAAAAAAGCTGGGTCTCTGATAACATTCATAATCCACTACACCAGCTTCTACTGCCTACTTCTGGACCTCACATTTTGTAAGAGAAAATATATGTATATGTATGTGTATCTTTAGTGCTTAAATCACACTTAGCTAAAAGCACCCCAGATAGTTATTTATATATACATGTATCAGTATATAGCCATTAAGCATATTAAAGCTTTTTAAAAATTCTTTTTATTTTTTTAATTTACATCCAAGTTAGTTAACATATAGTACAATAATGATTTCAGGAGTAGATTCTTTAATGCCCCTTACCCATTTAGCCAATACTTCTTCCCACAATCCCTCCAATAACCCTCTGCTTGTTCTCCATAATTAAGAGTCTCATGTTTTTGTCCCCCTCCCTGTTTTTATATTATTTTTGCTTCCCTTTCCTTACATGCATCTGTTTTGTATCTTAAAGTTTCCCACATGAGTGAAGTCATATGATAGTTGTCTTTCTCTGACTAATTCTGCTTAGCATAATATCCACATAGTTGGAAATGGCAAGATTTCATTCTTTTTGATTGTCAAGTAATACTCCATTGTGTATGTATATATATATATACCACATCTTCTTTACCCATTCATCATTTGATGGACATTTGGGCTCTTTCCACACTTTGATTATTGTTGATAGTGCTGCTATAAGCATTGGGGTGCATGTGTCCCTTCAAAACAGTATACCTGTATCCCTTGGATAAAGACCTAGTGGTACAATTGCTGGGTCATAGGGTAGTTCTATTTTTAATTTTTTGAGGAACCTCCATACTGCTTTCCAGAGTGGCTGCACCAGTTTACATTCCTACCAGCAGTGCAAAAGGGTTCCTCTTTTTCCACATGCTCACCAAAATCTGTTGTTGCCTGAGTTGTTAATGTTATCCATTCTGTCAGGTGTGAGGTGGTATCTCATTGGGGTTTTGATCTGTATTTCCCTGATGATGAAGGACATTGAGAATTGTTTCATGGGTCTCTTGGCCATCTGGGTATCTTCTTTGGAGAAGTGTCTGTTCATGACTTTTGCCCATTTTTTCATTGGATTAATTATTTTTTGGGTGTTGAGTTTCATAAGCACTTCATAGATTTTGGATAATAACCCTTTATCTGATATGTCAGTTTCAAATATCTTCTCCCATTCTGTCTGTTGCCTTTTAGTTTTGCTGATTATTTCCTTCACTGTGCAGCAGCTTTTTATTTTGATGAGGTCCCAATAGTTCACTTTTGCTTTTGTTTCCCTTGCCTCCAGAGACGTGTTGATTAAGAAATTGCTGTGGCCAAGGTCAAAGAGGTTTTTGCCTGCTTTCTCCTCCAGGATTTTGACAGCTTCATGTCTTACATTTAGGTCTTTCATCCATTTTGAGTTTATTTTTGTGTATGGTGTAAGAAAGTGGTCCAGGTTCATTTTTCTGCACATCACTGTCCAGTTTTCCCAGCACCACTTGCTGAAGAGACTGTCTTTATTCCATTGCATATTCTGTCCTGCTTTGTCAAAGATTAGTTGGCCATATGTTTGTGGGTCCACTTCTGGGTTCTCTATGCTGTTCCATTGATCTGAGTGTCTGTTCCTGTGCCAATACCATACTGTCTTGATTACTATAGCTTTGTAATACAGCTTAAAGTCTGGGATTGCGATGTCTCCTGCTTTGGTTATCTTTGTTTTCAAGATTGCTTTGGCTATTCAGTGTCTTTTCTGATTCTATACAAATTTTAGGACTGTTTGTTCTAGCTCTGTGAAGTGGTGTTATTTTGATAGGGATTGTACTGAATATGTAAATTGCTTTTCAATAATATTTTTGTTCTTCTTATCCATGAGCATGGAATATTTTTCATTTTTTTGTGTGTCTTCTTCAATTTCTTTCATAAGCTTTCTATACTTTTCAGTGTACAGATTTTTCACCTCTTTGGTTAGATTTATTCCTAAGTATTTTATGGTTTTTTGGTGCAATTATAAATGAGATTGATTCCTTGATTTCTCTTTCTGTTGCTTCACTGTTGATGTATAGGAATGCAACCAATTTCTGTGCATTGATTTTAAGCATATTAAAGCTTTTTATAATTATAATATTCTCTAAAGGCAAGGATTTGGGGTACTACTAGATACCTCCATTAAAGTGCTGTTGATAGGGTTAACTGATAGTTTAGTCAGTTTGACATTATATTGCAAAAGTTTTAAAAATATTCTTAACCTTTGTTTGACTCTATAATTCCACTTTTAGATATTCATCAAAGAAAAAATAATAAATTTGGAGAAGTACTGCTACAATATATTTATAATATTAATAAATTGAAAACAACATGTATATCAAAAATATAATGCTGGCCAAATGATTTTATAGTATGAATTTATGATAGAATACTATACCATCCTTAAAATCATGTAATAAAAATACCTAATTATGTAGAAAAATGCTTACTTCACAGCAGTATCCAAAGTAAAATCCTTTGAGGGTAACTAAAAATAACTTTACTTAGTAAAGATATTTTTATAAAGATTAGGGAAATATAGTAAAACACAAGTAGACATGGATGGATGATAGAATTACCAGTAATTTTTGTTTTCTTCTTTTTAGTTGTCCATTTCTAAATTTCACATTTTTTTGTAATCAGAAAAATTAAAGTTATTTTAAATATACCTATATTTGTTCAAACAAAGAAATGAAATAAACAAATAGGGAGAGATGTATATTAAAGCTAGTTTTATTTCTTCTCTATGAAGCTCATTAATTCTGTTTACTTTAGTTAAAAAACAAATTTGCAATTACAATTTTATCTGACACTAACATATAAAAGTCTTATAAAACAAATGTGAAAAGCACTCTTAAGAAGTAAAAAGTGGAAAAGTACCAAGATTACTTATTTTAAATAATTACAGGATTTCATCATGGTCAATATGAACACACATCCAAGAACTCCAAAAGAGAACATGCTATTTCAAATACATTGGATCTTTGGTGAAATTTTTAAGTTTGTCATTGAATCCCATTTCTAAAGTGACTAAGAAGCAAATATATGCTGATAAGCCTAAGATAACCCATGACACAAAAACAATTGAGCCCCATATCAGGAGGAAAATGGATGAGTTATCTAAGCTTTCCTTAGTTCTTCTTGCCTAATTCATATCTTACAGAGATTACCTCTCTGGTTAAAAGCATCCCTTTTATTTAATCTCTGTGAGTTTTCATCCATCTGCAGAAAAGATCATAATCAGAAGCCAGGGTCTTAAACAGTTTTTAAATTCAGTGTGCAACATGTAATTTCCAACTATATTACCAGGACAGTAAAGGAGACTCAAAGAACTAATACATTTGTATTAAGTGTTGTAAGGATAGTACTCTTCCTGTCTTTTCCTATAACCCAAATATGTTATAGGAAAATTGACTAAGAAGAAAGAGAAAGGAAAGAAAAGGAGAAAGAAACCAAATAGTTCACAACTATTTGCTAACAATGTGTCACATATATATATCTCCAAACACAATTCAAACTGAAGAACAGATTAATTGTAATAAAAAGTATTTAATTTGCAGAGTTTTCATTGATTAGATATAAATAAAGCCTTTTAAACACTTTAAATTAATGAAAAATAAATTTTAAGCACTTTAAGTGTTAATAACGCAAAAGTTGACTTACCATAAATTTCTAAACCTTGTGGAAAATACTCTTTGTATTCTAAATCCTAGCCACTAATGCAAAGGTGAGGATTCATATTGTAGTCAACAGTGCCAACCTTTAATGAGGGATTTTAAAAGGCTGATTTAATTCCCAGAATTTTTTTTTTTTTAATTCCACCCCATTACCAGGAAAGCTAATAGATGCTACACCTTAGAAACTCTGGTTACTAAAGATATTTTACCCAATCAACACCTCTCTCTTTTCTGAGCTACTCAGAAAGAAATATTGACACCTGGAGAAAGTCACACCTTCACAAATTACCCCAAATTCACTGTGATATCCAAGCTTTATATATGGAGCCCTTTCTAAAGGATCAGAGCCAGCGGATGAACAATCGTCCCCTCCAGCTGCTAGAGAAAGCAAAACCACAAAGAGAATCTACTTATGGGATTACTTTTGGGGCATAAGAATATACTTTTAAAAGGTACATAGCCAAAAGCCTACAATAAAGATGAATAATAAATATTTACACTCCAAGCCAAAAAATTCCACAGTCTAAAAAGAAATATTTGATGTTTTCATTTCTGAATACTGAAAGCAAAATAATGATTATAATAATTTTAATCAAACTTAAAAGGTACACCTTATTACCTTGTTGATATAAGCTATTTGCCTTTGAACAGGCAAACAAGAGAGAAAAATCCTTGAGGCATTTTTATATTCTGACTTAACAATTATCTGATAATTACCCCATCATTACCTGTTGATGAAGGATTCCATTCTGAATTCTTAACATTTCTGATGGTACAGGCATGTTACTTCAAAAGTCCTACCTGGAAAGAGACTGAGAAGACTGACTGGAGATTTGTTGGTATCAATAGTTAGTTTGTGGCTTGCAGTTTTTGAAGGCTGACCTGGTAGACAGATTAGTTTCAGAGGAAGTCTAAATTTACATTGGATAACCCGAGGAATGCCTGAAATAAAAAGAGAGAAATGTAGATTCATACATTTAACAGATAATTTAACCAAAAAAATTTGTAATACTACTAGTTTGAGTAGCAATATATATCTTAGTTTAAAAGTTTGCTGCCTGTACATTTTGTTTAGCATAACTGAAAAAACTGCAAAGTTTTATCATAATTCATATTTTTATTTTATTGTCAAAAAGGTCACGCAAAAATAAAATCCCAAAAAAGAATATAGGCATGAAGTCTGCCTTTAAGAACATATTTTAAAAAATCATCACAGTTGAGCACTATTCAAAACAGTGTGTATAGTTTTATATTCAACTACTGAACTGTCTTTAAACTACGAACTTCAAAGCTCTAGCCTCAATCCTTTGGGCTATCAGCTGATAGTAAGTAACTATCAGCTGACGTAAGCAAATACATATGTGAAATTTGTATCAGGAAGAGTTATATGACCTTATCTAATACTTTCTCCACCACCAAAATTTTTTAATCTTTAGCTTTTTTAACTTACTGAACATGCAGATTATAATATAAAATCTACAATAAATTATAAGCATGGAAGTAGAATTTGCTCTACTAAAGTTCAACTGAAGCTCATGTCATTTTACACATTAATATTAAGAATATTACTTTCATATGAATTAAATTTTTCTTAATCCATTTAAATTCACATATCGTTGTTAAGTGACATGTTGAAAGTTATTTAAATTTGTTTATTTATTTTAAGAAAGCGGGTGGGGGGGGGAGGAAAGAGAGAAGCCCACGCAGGCTCCGTGCTGTCATCACAGAGTCCAACATGGGGTTCGATCCCACAAACTGTGAGATCATGACCAGAGCGGAGATCAAGAGTCAGATGCTTAACCAACTGAGCTACTCAGATGCCCCCATTTTGAAAGTATTTCATGGTCATTCAACTGAATTTTTTCAGTACATTTACAGGTATATTGAAATAGCTAACTGAATAAATAACAATGAAGACTTTTATGTCAGAATTAAAAGTTTTTAAGATCATTCAATAGTTTTACAGAGAATAAAACTGAAAACAAAGGAAGTTAGGCTCTCTACTTATAAATCTAGAAAAGCAATTCAACAACTTTTTTTTCTCTCCTTTTAGTCTAGGATTCTACCTTTGATTGGATAAGATAAAAAGTAATACACAAAAACCTCTATTTTAGTATATTGCTATAGAAAAATGAAAAACCTAATATGTTCCACTCTACTTGATGTATCCACACACTTATTCCTTTATTTCTTCATAGTAGAGTCCGTGATCAGCTTAAAAACAGAAAAAGCAGAAGGAGTTAAAGTTTGGGGACACGATCCCAAAGCAGGATTCCTAGAATTAGCAATATATTCTGTTAATGCCAATTGGAGCCATGGGGCTTACCCAACATCCAAGCTGGGACACACTTTCCAGCACTACTTATTTACAAAGACAGTAAGAGATCATCAACACTGGCAGGCATACTGATATATGAGGTCAATTAAATACTTTTTCAGAGCATGTGAAGCATATTTGTGATTCTCTTCAACATAATCTATTATCCATTAAATTTTACGTAGCTCATTTTTTGCTCATAACCAACAGATGTTAAATTCACTTCTCCTAGTCCTAGATGCAAATTATAACCAGTGTCTCTTAAGAAAAGTCCCAAGGCATTATTTCCTGACATTCTGTGAGGTTTAAGAGGCATGTGTATTTGTACTTTACAATGATGAAATGTTTTGACTCAAAATATTATGGTAACATGATCTAAGCTACTGCTCAAACCACAACTATCAATATCACCATAAAAAATACTGCAAAGCATTATTTTTCCAACTTCATATATTCCATATATCCCCAAATTATGGAAATATACCTACTAATCTTTCCTCTACCATATATAAATTACAGCCTCAATTAACAGATGCAGCCTGGAAAGAACAAGGAAACGAACCTGTTTCCATTTCCTTCATTTTTAATGAATATAGTAATGGAAAAAATTCCTTCCTCTTTTGATAACTCTGCACATGCATGAAGAGAAGCTACTTTCTTTATACTTTCAACCAAAGCCTGAGCTAACAGTTCAAACAAAATGTGGCTGTAAATGTTCTTCTAAAACCGTACTACTAAAACTGTGGCTCTCCTTCACCTGGATCACATATGTACTTGAATTTGCTTGAGTTTGTGGCTAAAAAATATTTAATCATGATCAATAACACTGGCCTTCTGCTACTAAATCTATATATTTGAAGATTATTACCCTAAATCTCCAAAAACCCAGAGCTAAAGAAATCGGTGGTATATATATGTTTTCAGAAATTTAAACAAATGGATTGTAAGCACTAATGAACCCAAGAAGGGAAATACATTATAACTCAATTCACAACTCAGGTAGGTCAGTTAATGACAATATCACACACGAGGGCAATGGTCTACAGTTGCTAAGATTTGTAGAAACCTCCAGAATTTCTTTTCTCTCCAGAAATTGTAAACCTGTTTCATAGGACATTTGGAAAGCATTATTTTGAAAAATGATGACACTTATACTTAATAAAATGATTATGGCTATTTTTTAAATGCTGGCAACCTGAAAAGTTTCACCACTGGGGAGAAAAAAGAATATGAAATCCTTTAGAAACCAATTTAAAGAAACCATATCTTTCAAAAGAGAAATTACAATACCAGTATTTTACATTACTTCCCATCAAATTAAAACCCTAATCTTTTAAAATACAACCTTCAGTATTTAGATGTAGGGTTTATAAGAGGTACATTTCAACTGAGATTTACATTTTCTTGAGAAACCTGAGATGTAAATTTGATACCAATTTACTCTTCAGGCTGTGAGTGCATCTGAGAACCCAAAGCTAGAAATACATAGAGGTGTGCGTGAATGCACGCATGTATGTACCTACCTATAAAAAGGAAGGAAAGAATTACATGCATTTAAAGACTTTTCAAATTTGCTCACAGAATAGCTTTCAACTTAGTTGAAAGAGTCTAACTGGTCTTAAATTTGCCTACCATCCCTGATACATTCTCTATGTAATTGACAAAACAGTCTCTGAATCTGGCTTATTCAACTCTCTGAGTGTTATGCTGAGAGAAAATAAAAGTTTGGTCATTTATAATACTCAAATATTGGCCTACTCATTCATCAGACTGACTTCGTTCTGCAGTTTTTTACCAAATACAATCACCTCTCCTTCAGACATTTCCCTTTCTAGCCTAACACAGGAAATGGATAGTCGCAACTACTCTGGTACAATTAATCACAAAATTATTTAACACTTGGAGAGAAAATTCACATCAAAACCACTCTTGACAGAACAATTTCTCCAGGAAGAGAATTCTAATTACACCTGGCACACCCAACAGCCCAGTATCACTATCGAGAGGGAAGCCAAAATGTGCTTTGAAAAAAAAGAAAAAAAGGAAAAAAGAACATATATATCAGAGTAGAATAACTATATATATTACACATCTATATAATGTCTTCAGAACTCTTTCCAGGGGCCTGCTAGAGTCATTTCATATTGAAAACAAGGAACCCCAAAGCAGTAGCAATGTCTGGAAGCCAGAACTTCCTTGATCCCTTCCTGTTATGTCTGGCTATGTACTGTGCCCCATCTGCAATCATGTTTTACACTGCCCATGTCATGTAACTTTAATGCAGACATAATGGAGACTTACTCTTATGGGACAACATAAAACCTCGTTTGCTTCTCTTTTTCCACATGTAAAAAGCAGGACTGCTTATCTGCAAAGAACCTGAACAGACGAGGCCAATAAAATGGACCAGTCTTTGAAATCTGAAGCCTTGCATGTAAGTTAAGATCTAAGTAGCAACATATTATTCAATCTGACCAACCAGGTGAAGCTGGGTATTTCAACCCCCTAAAGCTTCATTATAATTTAAAAATATTTCATAAGAGATTATTAGCTTTGTATCGAAATACTAAAATTTTCATATATTATAATTTTTTTCTCATGGTTGGGCTGAATTTACAGGAAGAGGGAGTAAATTCCCCTCAACAATAAACTTTACTAATATTTTTTAAAATTAAAATCAATCATTTAAATCATAATATGGTACTTTACAAAAGTTAGTATAAAATCTCACCAGCCAGATACAATCTTGCCAAGTAAAATGTAAATATTCATTATTAATAAGAGGTTGTTTTTAAAACCCAAATTGTAATTTAAAAAGCATATTTCATGTTATTAAGCTAAACACTTACAGCTAGTAAAATATTTCTGATATAAATATATTTTCATCTCTCAGATACAATACAACTAAGGTTGTTGGCATCACCAAAACTGTACGAGTAAATTACTGCCATTATTTTTTAAGGATTTTATTTATTACTAATTAATATTGTTATCTAATATTTATCTTAAAATATATAATAAACAGAGATAAACCACTGAGATAATCAAAGTTGAATATACTTTTAGAATGCCTGTCATCTTCCCTGATATGGCACAATTGAAAGATGAGTACTTAACTCTGCTCTCAACCCAAAATCTTAGGGAAACCTAAAGAACAAACTTAATGAAATTCATATTATGATAGGTATTACAGCAGAATCATAAATAAAGGATTTGGGGAAAACAAAATAGGTAACAATCAACATTGACCCAGGCAAGTTTAAGGGGTCATACCTGATGACACTGTTCCACAAATTGTAAACAAGATAAGAAATAGTCCCACAGTGGGGGACCTGAGTGGCTCAGTCAGTTAAGAATCAGCTCTTTCTGATCAGAACACCATGAATACTTACTCTATGGGTCCCTTCCTTCCTCATTCCCTTTCTTTTCCTTTCTTTTCTTTTTTCTTTTCTTTTCTTTTCTTTTCTTTTTCTTTTCTTTTCTTTTCTTTTCTTTTCTTTTCTTTCTTTCTTTCTTTCTTTCTTTCATTCTTTCTGGGCCCTTTCCTTCCTCACTCCCTTTCATTTTCTTTCTTTCTTTCTTTCTTTCTTTCTTTCTTTCTTTCTTTCTTTCTGAGAAAGAATGTGTGAATGAGGGTAGGGGTAGAGGAAGAGAGAGAATCTTAGGCAGACTCCATGCTCAGTGTGGAGCCTGATGCAGGGCTCAGTTTCAGAACGCTGACATCATGACTTGAGCCAAAATCAAGAGCAGGATGCTTAACTGACCAAGCCACCCAAGCACCCTTGTGGGCTTGCTCCTTCCTTCCTTCCTAATTTTCTTTAATATTTATTCTTGAGAGAGAGACAGACAGAGCATGAGCAGGGGAGGGGCAGAGAGAGGGAGACACAGAATCTGAAGCAGGCTCCAGGTTCTGAGCTGTCAACACAGGCTGTACACAAGGCTCGAACTCACAAACTGCGAGATCATGACCTGAGCAGAAACCAATAGTCACACTCTTAACCAAGTGAGCCACCCAGGCACCCCTGAATCATTTTAATGCAATATTATCATTTCTTAACCACGCCTTTGCTTTCTGACCCAACAATATAGGACAAGCTCTCTTATTTTCCCTTCTCCAGACCTAGAAACAGCCTTTTCCCAAGAACCTTGATCCCTTTTACTAGAGATGGTACTCATACCTTAAGATCTATGTAATAGATGTGCTCATTGCAAATGAGCTAAAACCTAAATAGGTCTCTGACCCATCTCCAATGCCCCTACTCAACTCCACTGCAAAAACCTCCAGCTGACCTTCTGACAGGCTATTTGGCTTTCCTTCAACCAGTGCTTCACATTGCAGTTAGAGTGATTTTTTCAGAATACAAACCTGTTCCTGTCATACCCAAACCAAAAGCACATCCGTGCACTTCATGACCTACTTAAAACCATTGAATGGCTGACCTTTGGTCACAGAATAAACACCAAAGTCACTAGTATGATCAAGAAGACTAGTATGGCCTATCCTTTCCCTATACCCTACTTAATTTTTGAGCACTTTACCCCAGCTCTCAGTCAATTAAAAAAAAAAAGATAGAAAGAAAGAAAATGAAAACAATTAGAATTCAGTGATAAACACCTTTTCTCCTTATTCTTTTTTTAAGTAAAATAAGACAGAGCATATAAGTAAACTACCAATAACTTATGGAAATAAATAATTAATGACACTTCAGATTTTTTTATTCCCAAAAAAATCACGGAGCTTCATTCTTTCTCATGACTCTGAAACAACTAATAATGAATGAGAAGTCTCTATGAGAGGAAACATTCATGATCCTCTCCATAGACAGATGAAGGCACTGAAACATCCTAAAGAGATTTCTATAGTTAGAATAACAGTCTATAAAAAGAGTGCATTCATGGTATAATCCCAATTCAATTCACTGACCAAACTTCAAATCTGAAATTCATTTTGTTCTAAATTATCTTTTCACTTACCATCAGGATTTTGATCTATCCATCAGAGGCAATGCAAACAGGTGTAGGGGAGAAAGAATGCAACAAATTATTTGTGTTAAAATTACAACACAAATTTAATAAACATCTGCTTAAAAATATAAATTAAAATGTTGAAGATTCTCTCAGAGGATTTAAATACCCTCCCAATAAAAGTAAGTCAATTCACAACTGAAGAATATAACATGAATAAGTGAAATCTAACAATATATTTGCACATCCAGTCTCAGAAGTCCATGAGAGTGTATCAGTATATCACTCCAGTATTGGGGGGGAAAAAAAAAAAAAAAGGAAGTTATATGTTCTAGACCAAGAGCAAACCAGACTTATTTGTAAATGACATCAAGAGGATTAAATAATTCTTGGGGAAAAATTTTGAGGGCAAGGCCAAATACATAATATTTCTAGTTACTCTTGCTTACATTATTTCAGCCAGTAGATACTACTATAGACTAATGTCTTCTTTGTTTGTTTGCTTGTTTTATGCTTGTCTTGATATTCTCTCACTTTTATAGACTCTTTACAAATTTTAATTTCTAATTAACTTTCAACTAATTAATGCTATGCCCTTCAGTTTAGCAAAATTTATAATCTATTACAATCTGTCTATAGAAAAGCATAATAGTTAATATGGTATGTGCAACCATAAGTTCATAGGTTAATTTTACAACTTTATCATGTATTTTTAAAGCATTTTGACAATTTGCTATGTAAGCCATTTCTCTATTTTAAATTCATTTTCAACCAGTGTCACTAATTTTCTTTGGAAACAAATGAAATACTTAGTTGAATTAAGACAACAACAGTCTCTACAACTGTGTAAAAGTCTAACAAGGATAAAAAATATACAAATGCCTATGATCATTGAGACACTCGATTAATGATAAATGATCTAGAGATTTTAGTCAAATATTTATTATTTCATAAATCAAAATTAAGATAACATTAAAATTTTCAATGTTCTTTTCAGAAAAATCCAACTCTATCATTCTTTGATGCCTTATGGAAGTTTTGCATTTCTTCCTGAAGCCAGCTTTCTCAAAGTCATTTAAACATAAAATATTTACATAACCCCAAATTTTGAAAATATAGATGAGAAAGAGAAAAATTCTGGCTAAAAATGAATTTTTAACAACTTAAACCAAAATAACTAACAAAGCAGAAGAAACAGATTTTGAAAACATGTATTAAAGCTATAAAATCATCTCACAGTATAGAGTTGTCAAGCCATAAGCCAGAAAATTTACTTAGACAAAATTAAAACTACAGTTATTAAAAAAAATTGTTAAATAAGGTAATTGGACATAGAGAGGAAAAAGATAATTAAGTCATCTCTAAAACTTTTAGAACTAAAAAACTATATAGAAATTGTTTAATAAAAACACAAGTGCAACATGCTAAAGTACCCTATTATCAGTTATCCTATATTAAAACATTTTTTAAAAAACAATCACTAATTATTTGTATTCTACCAATAAGTGTATTGTCCAAATGTTAACATGAAGAAATCACTATACAGGAAAAAATACAAACTATAAAATTTGACCCAACAAAGTTAAAATTTACAGTAACTGAATCTCAACTGGACTAAAGGTAACATTTTTAATTTAAAAAGAGTTCCTTGAGAACATACAGATCAAATTTTAGTAAATATGTTCTTAAATATATTAATATATAAGATACTAAAGAGTTTTATTTAGTCATTCTTTTTTTTAATGTTTTATTTATTTCTAGGAGAGAGAGAGAGACAGTGTGAGCAGGGGAGGGTCAGAGGGAGAGGGAGACACAGAATCTGAAACAGGCTCCAGGCTCTGAGCTGGCAGTCAGCACAGAGTCCTATGCGGGGCTCGAACCGCGAGATCATGACCTAAGCGAAAGTCGGACACTTAACCAACTAAGCCACCCAGGCGCCCCTAGTCATTTAAAACAGTGTCTGAAACTATGAATACTGATTTATCAACCCATAATAGTCTTTTTCACTAATTCAGAGTGGGCTTTTCTCCTTAGTTTAGTAAGTGTAGTCTAATATCATTCATTTAGTGTGAATAAAAATATACTTGCTATTAATTCAGAAGACAACATCAAACATCATATGTGGAAATCAGCTAAGCAGACTTATCTATAATAATTCATAACACAGAAATAATTTGGACAATTTTATTTAACACTAGGAAAGAATATTTTTTCATTTAGTAATATACTACAATGTTTTCTAATCTTAAACACTTAAACATTTAAGGGCGCCTGGGTGGACCAGTCAGTTAAGTGTCCAGCTCCTGGTTTTAGGTTATGATCTCATGCTTTCCTGAGTTTGAGGTCCACATCAGGCTCGGCACTGTGGAGCCTGCATGAGATTCTTTAACTCTTGCCCTCTGCTTGCCTCACCCTCGCTTGTGCTGTCTTTGTGTCTCTCAAAATAAATAAACTTAAAAGAAAAAAAAAAACTTAAACATTTAACTCATAACTCCAATTTAAAAGGAGTGATCAGGCTTAAAAATCTGAACAACCGTATGTTTACCTGATGGTCTGGAATAAGAAACAACAGCATTTCCTTCCAATTCAGGTGGGGTATAACTCCCTTTCAGATAAACAGAAAAGGCTACTGTTCTACTCATCTCTGGTGCTATAAGAAATGTAAAAGTAATATAAGTTACAAAATTTTGGACAACTATTAACAACAGTTAAAATTATGCATGCATTGCATGCCAGCTATTCTTCTAAGCACTTTACATGGATTAACTCGTTTAATCCTCACAACAACCCAGTAAGGTGTGTACTATTATTGTCCCCAACTTTTGTGCATGAGGAACTTGGTTACAGAGAGATTACAAACCTTGTTCAAGGTCATATTGCTAATATATACTGGGGACTGACTCCAAAACAAGGGAGTTCTGTTTCTCTTTACTCAGATGAATAGGCAGCATGATCAGAAAAAAAAGTATACAAAAAGGCAAGAGATTTGGGGAATGGGGAATAGTACACTTTATCATGGCTAGAATACAAACTACAAGGAGAAATGGAAGGGGGGACTCCATATGGATGTAACTATAACCGTAGCGACTTTGCAGATTGTGCACGGCCTTCTATATTCATGTATTTGGCCTCCAACCTGTGATGGAGCCTAAGACATTTTTAACTGGAAAAATAAACTGTTCAGAATGTTTTAGAAAGACAACTTGGAAGTATTCTGAAAAAAATTAGAAAATAAAGTGAGTATCCAGTGATTGGATATCTCCTACAAGATTACTTCAACCATTCTACCATTTGTTCATTGATTTGGTTAATATTTATTAAGTTCCCCGTATCTGACAGGCATTCAAGTAAGAGTTGGTTATACAAAGGCAAAAGAGAGAAATATGTTCTTGACTTCATAAATACAATAGAGGATCACCAGCTGAACAGCAGCAGTAAAAGAAGAGAGAAAAAGATTAGAAAGATAAATCATAAGTCATTTTAATAGGACCACTGACAACTTTGATATAAATGGTAGGGCCTGAGAGATACTGTGCAAAGAAGTCTTACTAAGAGTTGCCATTTTTATGACTAGCGTTATTACAGATATCTTACATAGATTCATTTTCTAATTAAATCCTCAAAAAAGCCTTGCAAGACAGATATCATTATCCCCTTTCAGCAGATTAAAAGAAATTGAGGCTCCGAGTAATTACTCAAGTAGCTTGCCGAAAGTTACACATCAGGTACATGTCAGAGCGAGGATTCAAATTCAGGCCAGATTCAAAGCCAATGTCCTTTCTTCAAACGTTACTGATTCAACAAACAGCTCACTAGAGAAACACCAATAAAGAAAGTCTTCCAAATTATAGTATTTAAGCACAATTACAGGCCCATCTAGTTAAGGAAACCACTTGAAAATCTATAATTACTTCAGCTCAACAACCATTCATTGAATGTTGCTATTTTTTAAAAAGTATCGTTCATGTTTGATATCTGTAGGGGAAATATAAGCAAAATAACACAATTACAGATTTTAGAAAGATACCAGTCTCATCATTCAGACAAGAAATACAGCCATGAAATAAACATACTAACAAAAAAAAATTTTTTAATTAAAAGAAAATATCACACCATGATAGATTTTAAGCCAAAATAGAACCCTTACCCATAAATTCAAAGGTGAACTGATCACAAGTCAATACTAATGGTGGTTGCACATAAACTGATAATTTGGCTTTTTGCAAAGCCAGTCGATTCTGCAATGTGACCTAAGGAAATAGAAATTGTTATTAATAGATAATTACATTTTATCCAGGTTGACAGGAGAGCACAAGTATGTGAAAAATCACTAGCAAATAATTAGGAAACATCTAAAAAATGAGTAGTCTTTTAAAACATAAGTAGTAGATTAACTGATAAGTAGAAAAGTGGTGGATTCTAACCAGTAGAAACTGGATAAAGAAGTTGAAGAGACTTTTCTCCAAAGAAATAGAAGTGGCCAAACAGTACATGTGAAACAGCTTAATATCATTAATCACTATGAAATACAAAGTAAAACCCCAATGAGATACTATTATACATCTACTAAAATGCTATAATCAAAATAATAGACAAAAATAAGTGTTAGCAAGAATGTGAGGAAACTAGAAGCCTCATACGTAGCTGATGGGAATGTAAAATGGTATAGCCACACAAGAAAATAATTTAACAGTTTCTTTAAAAATTAAACATAAATTTACCAGACAACCTCACAATTCCATACAAAGAGAAATATGTTATGTCCATCCAAAAACGTATACACAAATTTCATAGCAGCATTCTTCACAACAGCCAACCAAAAGTAGAAACAACCCAAATGTCCATCAGCTGATGAATGAATAAACAAAATATGGTACTTTATAATGAAACTGTATTTGGTAATCAAAAGAAATTAAGTACTGGCACATATTACAACCTGGGTAAACCTTTAAAACATTATGCTAAGGGGTAGAGGCTAGTCACAAAGAACCACATGTTGTAGGATTCCATTTATAGGAAATGTCCAAGATAGGCAAATCAACAGAGACAGAAAATAGATTAGAAGACGCTGAGGGATAGAAGTGGGGGAGGGCTGGAGGATGGGACAGGGGAAAGGAACAGGAAGTTACGGCTAATGGCTATGAAGTTACTTTCAGGAGGGACGAAAATGTTCTAAAATTAAATTGTGGTGATGGTTCCACAACGCTGCAAATATGGTAAAAATCACTGAATTGAAATGAGTAAATGGTATATTATATGAATTGTATCTCAATAAAGCTATTAAAAACGCTCTAGCAAAAGCAAAGGAAAAGGCTGCCCTGTGGCTGGTGAATAATTACATCATGAAATGTTAGGTGTTCACTCTTCTTTTCATGTATAGATATGGCAACTGGATTATCTTATCTAGTATCAATAAACCACTTTTTGCATAAATTAATTATTCTCTAAAGATTTCCTTGCTAGGTGGATATTTACTAGCCTAAATGCATAGCAAAGCACCACATTTAATTCCATGGCTTAACACAAAGATACATGACATAACTAATTCTAGAAAGTATCAAAGAATGGCAATATTGACTGCTGCATATTTCTCAGCGGGCTGCAATTCTAACTCTGTGGTGATGCTAAGAAAATCCTCCCACTCTAATTAGAATCAAAAGCTAAGAACTCTGGGGTAACAGTGTGACTGAGAAACAAGGACAGATATGAGAAGGCCAGGACTTCTCTCACTTCCCCTGAAAAGAAGCATCAGCAGAAACCATCAGGCCCATGAATTTTTACTGGGCCACAGCACTAAGGGACATCTTTTTCAGGCTATCAAAGAAAAGTCTTAAAGATCTGACTTCCATTGGGCATAATCTCTCTTTGGATTTTGTCTCCTTAAAGACTCAGACTTTGAACGGTCTCATTTGGATGAATTCATCCACATGGTTGGTATGGTAAGCAGACTTATCATAGTCAACTGCCCCGGTAGGGCTGGTATACCAACTGAGTCAAGATCTCTGGGTGGTAGAACTGGGTATTGGTTTTTTTTTTTTGTTTTTTTTTTTTTTGGCTTCCCAGATGATACCCATGTAGTACCAGAGTTAAGAAGCACTCTTCTATAGGGGCACCTGGGTAGCTCAGTCAGTTAAGCTTCCAACTTCAGCTCAGGTCATGATCTCACAGTTTGTGGGTTCAGGCCCCACGTCGGGCTCTGTGCTGACAGTTCAGAGCCTAGAGCCTGCTTCAGATTCTGTGTCTCCCTCTCTCTCTTCCCCTTCTCTGCTGATTTCCTATCTCTGTCTGTCTCTCTCTCTCTCAAAAATAAACATTAAAATAAATAAAGAAAAATTAAAAGAAAAAAAGATACATAGTTTTCAAATTTCTCTTAAATTAAAGGCATGTATCACCTATTTCTTAATATATATTTTGCATAAATACATCATATATATGCACATATAATGTATACATACACACACATACTATAGAGAAAGAGACAACATACAGGCATACATAACTGGCTCAGAAATAATATATACATACAATTATATTCAATAAGCATATTGTATTCATTTTAAATGATGTGGGTATTCTGTACAACTCAAAAAATAAGTTAAATGCAAAAATGTTGACTTCCAAAGTAAAATTTTTAAAGGATAACTCTTGATGCAAATAAATACAACTGGCTCTTTGTTGCATAGCAAATAACAATGAATCCTCAATTTTTACTTTACAAGCCCCGGGAATGCACGAAGGGAATCTGCATACCACAAAGCAAAGCTTCCTTCGGGATGTCTGAGAATTATAAACAACATAACATAATAAAATCCTGATGGTAATTATGGGAAGAAGAATCTACACAAACACCACAGACAACATTCTTTCAAATAGCGAGGTCCACTGAATAAGCAGGACACGACTAAATATTTTACTATTAATAATAACACAGTGCTAGTCTATATAAATACATATTTTTAAATGCAACTCAATATTAATGATAACCAGTAGCAGCTCTCTATATTCATGGAACCATGCTGATAAATTATTTATGTACATTATCTCATTTAATTTTCACAATATCCTGAAACAGGTGCTATCACTATATACCATTTTACAGAAGAGAAAATTATGTCTCAGAGAGCTAAACAATTTGCCCAAGGCCACTCTGATTAACAATTTAACTTCTGTCTGCCAGAATCCAAAGTGCATGCTCTTACTCAACCGTGGTTAAGTCTCAACTCTGCAAATAAAAAAGTATCCCCATTTTACAGTTTAGTTTATTTTATTTTATTTTTTTTAATTTTTATGTTTTATTTATTTCTAGGAGAGAGAGAGACAGCGTGAGCAGGGGAGGGTCAGAGAGAGAGGGAGTCACAGACCGAAAGAGGCTCCAGGCTCTGAGCTGGCAGTCAGCACAGAGCCCGACGCGGGGCTCGAACCCACAACCGCGAGATCATGACCTAAGCGAAAGTCGGACGCTCAACCGACCAAGCCACCCAGGCGCCCCCCCATTTTACAGTTTAAAAACAGAGGTTCAGAGAAGCACCTGGGTGGCTCAGTCAGTTAGGCATCTCGCTCTTGATTTCAGCTCAGGTCATCATCCCCGGGTCATGGGCCCCACATCAGGCTCTGTACTGAATGAACACTGAGCCTGCTTAACATTCTCTCTGTCTCTGTCTCTCTCTCTCTCTCTCTTTTTCCCGCTGCCCATCTCCCCCATACATTCTCTCTCTCTCTCTCTAAAATAAATCTTTAAGAAGTTAAAATTACAAAATTAAAATAAGAGGTTCAGAGAAGCCAAATAACATGCCCAAGATTGACAAGCCAATATGTGCAAGACAGTTGAAAACTATCACCAGGAATGTATCATAAGAGCTCAGTTTTAAAAGGGAAAATAAAAAATCCTTAAAGTAGCAATAAGTCACTTGTAAGAAAACAGATATTCTGACTCTACCTGGCATAACAATGTGTACCTAGACAGTGATCACACAATTTCACATTGTTAGCAAGATCATGATAGCTCTTGTGCACAGATTTATTAAATCCCAACAATGGGCTAGGCACTTTCAAGTGTGAATCAAGATGTGTGACAAAAAAACTAGATGAACAAAGAAGACTGTGTTTGAGCCAAAAGAGAAAGAGAGTTAAAGACTTAGCTAGATCATAAACCTCATATTTAAGAGAAAAATAATTACAGAATATTAAGGGAAAATATAAAACATTAATACAAGAATTTTCCATGTTGTTTTCTGGTTCTAACAAAATGAAATATGATCCTTAGGAAATACAATACCAAATTTTTCTCCTAGATATATAAATATGACTCCAAAGGCCAGGTATGAGCAACCACTCTGCTTAGTTGTCTGGAATAGATGGTCACACATCATGCACACATACTCAAGGTAGCCACATCTTCATTCACTTGGAACGGATGGAAAAATTTTCTCAATTAACAGGATTTATTATGATGGAAACTTGCATGGTTATATATCTTGGCTGCTGTTGTTATAAAAGGCTATAAGGAGAGATTTATAGCAAAATTTGTGTAGAAACTGTCAGACAGAATCAGGAAGTCATTGTGTCTGCTGTGTAAGTCCAGCTGATTTTATGCAACCCTCATGTGTTACATTCTTTCTCATGCTCTTATAATGGCAATAAAGAAAAGAGTTGAGACTTAGTCGTTCTCGAATATGGTTTAACTGTCACTAACAAAGGAGAATTTTCCAGTGGTGTCATGCCATCATTTTAACATGGCTATTATTATACATGAAAGCCTAAGAACTGCATGGGAGAGAAAGGTGTATTTACTTATAGCAATAACTAGTGTTTGGTGTAGGGAGGGAATTAGCATGAGCAATATTATCTGATTTAAGTACAAAATTTCTTTTTTGCAATTTATAGTGTGTTCCTGAAGTATTATATGTGTGTCTGAACAGTATCAGTAGATAGATATTAACGAAGTTTCTCTACACAAAAGTCTATAGATCATTCCTGGAACTCTGCAGGGTTTTTTTTTTTTTTTCTTAAGTGTTTGATTTCTTGCCACTAATGCTTTTCCAGACTCAGAAGTATTAATGAGATAGAGCCTTTGATTGGATAGGGGGGAGGGAGACCTGGGGAAAGACCACCCTTGTTTCCAGTGGCAAGAATCCAAAAAAATTAGCTTAGGAAACTGTTACAAGATTGGGCTCCCTTCAACTTCTACCAAAGATCCCCACACTTGGGCCACCCGCTGGGCCCAGTGTAAGCGAACACAATTGGTAAAGCCTGGTGCCCTGTCAAGCTCCTCCAAGGACAGCAACCCATAATCTAAGAAAATATAAAGCCCTGTCCAAGTTTTGACTAAGCAAATTGCCAAGATCCACAACTTTTCCCGGCTCCAAGGTCTGGGCAGTGATAAATATTTTCAGCTTAATAATGTGCTGACTGATTACCACACTTTAATCTAAATGCCTTAAGAGGGTTCTACATTTGAGTTCTAGTTCTAAAATTCTACAATGACAGGCTAAAAATTTTAACCAAAACCACATCCTTCATATTCTATTTTTTTTAGTACTATCAATTTTTCGCTACCCTACTTTGTGGCTTCTTCATTTAATATTTTCTTGATATAAATACATCCATTTAAAATAATATTATTGCAAGTAGATGACTGGAAATTCTTCTCAAACACATACATATTTACACAAAGAAGAAAGATATTAGCATTCACATGATTCTCCAAAATATGTATGATGATGCAATCAACTGGTTGGTCTATCATAAGTGGTGATGACACATGACAAAATTCCTTTAACATATACAAAATATTAATTTTGCTTCTAGAAAAAAAGGCCTTGCATCATTTAAATGTAATAGTAAGCAAAAGCCATAAGAATTATTAATATTATATAATACTGCTAGGAATGTAATTATCCATTCTATATTTGTCAGAAACAATAAAAGTTATCTTTGCTACCCAAGGCTAAGGGAAATGTACAAATTTCAAATGCTTGTTTTACACTTCCATAAGCTACGTATAGGGTGACAATAGTGGCAGATGTGATGAAATATGTAATACTGTTTGCATATTACGGTCTAGAACCACGGTACAATACCTTAACTGTGACTGAAGGGACAAGGTCAGTTCCCACTTCAACATCGGTAGCTTGCTGTAAACACAGAATTGAGAAAAGAAGGGAGGAAAGAATGGTTTCAAATTAACATGTCCATCAATGAGTAAACACAATGGGTGCAATATATACTTCCCACCATCAAAATAAGGAACTCACAATAAAGGACTTATCACGCTAATGACAGACTAAAAAGGTTAATGTGCTTTTTGAATGCCTTCAACTGCAAAGTCATGAACTATTAAAAACCTTTTCCAAAAGGGAAAGAAAAGGTCACATATTTTTGTCAATAGTATTTTTGTCAAAACACTCCCTCACCAAATTTACTTAAATGTTGAAACTAATTAATTCTATTAACTCATTCTATTAACTCATTCATATTAAATAAGTTAACAACATTACTTAAATGTTGAAACTAATTAATTCTATTAACTCATTCTATAACTCATATTATGCAGAAGAAGGCCTCCTTGTATTTCTCGGATAAACATTATGCCATTCTTTTTCGGTCCTTGTAGTTTCAATTTGTCAAAGGTATGTTTTATTCTGACTAATAATATGTGGGGCACATGGGTGGTCAGTGGTTAAGAGTCCGACTTTGGCTCAGGTCATGATCTCAGTTCATGGGTTAGAGCCCCACGGTGGGCTCTGTGCTGACAGCTCAGAGCCTGGAGGCTGGTTCTGATTATGTGTCTTCCTCTCTCTCTGCTCTTCCCCTGCTCATACTCTGTCTCTCTCTCTTAAGTAAATAAACATTAAATTATTTTTAAAAAACAGTATGTATCTAAGACATGTAACTAATGATAATAAAGCTTCAATGGCCTTACACCTAGAAAATAAAATAAAAGTAGAAATGTATTTTTTATGAGCTCATATCATAAACTAGGCCACTCTTTGAGCATCAGCCTGGGTTACATGATCCTACCTCTTACAGAATTCAGAGCATAATATAATGAAGCAAACATTTCCTTATAAGTTATAATTTATTTATTAGAGTGATAGATTGAGAGGAAAAAATGCTCACTTGATAATAGAATAAGACCAAAGGGTAACATATTTTCTAATAATAGCCATTGCTGGGAAGCAATTAAGATTATACAATCACTAATCCAACCAATGAATAGATCCATTATGTTTTTAGTTAACTTATTTGAAATTATCTTACTAAGAAATACTAGTCCATTTCTAGGCAATGGGGATTGTTACAATGTAATGAGTATCAGCATAATTAAGAGTTGGGGGACTCAGGGCTCAGTTGGTTGAGCGTCTGACTTCAGCTCAGGTAATGATCTTATGGCTCATGACTTCATGAGGCCTTGAGTTTGAACTCCACATCAGGCTCACTGCTGCTCTTTTCATTAAAAGAGTGGGGAGATTCATATTCCATATATGATTCCACAGAAAACCATATATGAACTCTCAATCCAGAAGACAGAATAGCAATGTTTGTCTCCTCTATAAAAGACCTCACTGTATTATAAATTATATCACTTTTTAGATGTGTGCTTTGATAATAATGACAAAATAAAATATTAAGCCAAGCTTTGTGCTCTAGTATAACCTAAAATCCAGGAAATGTTTTACATTTAGCTGTCCACAGATCTAGAAGAGAAAACCAACATCCTCCTGTTTCCTGCTCTTTTCAATCCATGTCTAAACACCTAGGTACTTCAAGGACAGCTGTCCTTTGGGAACATAAAATTATAGCCAGAGAGAAATAGCTACACAAAGACACCATGGCACCATAGCCACATAAATCGTTGGGCTAGTATTTTCCAGTGGGATGAACATGATACTCTCAGGAATCTCTTAAGAAAGAAAAAATAGTAAGACACCAGAAAATGAAACTGGAAAGAGACACCTAGTTAAGAGGAAACAGCACTCTGAGTTACCAATAGGGAAATATACATTACAATATAGTGCTATTACATAAGGCCTTTTCCTACAAAGATCAAAAGCAGCTAAAGAAAGGAAAGGGAATTCCTCCTTCCAAATAGCCTATGTTTAAGGGAACCTAGAAAAAATTACATACGTTGCCCAAAGGAAAATAGGAATCATTTCCAAGGCAAGAAATTGTGTGTACATTTGTCAGCTAACTAAGCAAAAATGTTCCACTTAGACTACACCCTTCAGGTAGAGTGAGAAATGGTGTGTGCTGAATGGCCAATGTTTAAAACAGTGCCTCTACTATGTGACTCAGCTGTGTGAATGTTCCTTTCATATATAGTACCTTTTTTTTTTTTTTAAGTAGACCCAACTTAGTATATTATAGCAATGTTAACGTGATTTTTATCACAGCTTGGGTTGGCTCTTTATACTAAGATTAATCTTTGAAAACTTAGGACAAGAACTTACTATATTATGCTCCGATACTTAAATATCGAAGTCATTTCCTAGGTAAAATTATAGGACATGAACTCTAAATATAGTAAAAAACAGTGAATTTGATCACTTGCCAAAACTGATCAACTTCTGATTTAGACACAGGTAAACTTAACAGATTTTGCCCAAACTGCAGGCAGTGAGACCTAACCAATTATAATCTAACAAGTGCTTACAGGAAACCACACAAGGAGATGGGGCAACATAATAAAGGACAGTCCCTCATTCATCCTTCTTGTTTCTCATCTCCAGTCATTTATATAGCAAAATATACTGACCGCTCATTATGTGACAGACGCTAAGGATATGGCAGTGGACAAGACAAGTAGTGGAATGCGGGGTGGTGGTGGCCGTGATAATGATAATGCTAAAAGAACTAAAATGTAATTTGATGGTGATGTTGGTTAACTATCATAACAATTCAACAAAGTAGATTGTATTATTATTCCCATTTTACAGATGAGAAAAGTTGAGACTAAGAAACTACCCTGCCCTGGGTCACACAGATAAAAGTGAGGAAAAATAATTCTTAGTCCAACTGTTTACTGTTTAACATACAAACGCAACCACCATAATGTACTAAAGACTGTAAATCAGCAAACCCTGACCTAGGTCTTTCATAGACATTATCTCAATGAACTTTCAACAAAAATCTTGTGGGATCAAGTATTATTCACCTGGATTGTGATTATCTCAATATTCTGGTACTGAAAAGGTTTTTGAAAAAAGTAGATTAAGAAAAGCTCTTCTACTTCTGCCCTTCCTCCCCTTTTTTAGACTGAAATCCTGCCTAAGGAACTCCTCACTAAGAAGTTGGAAATGTTTTTTCCAGAAAACAACAAAGACTTAAAGTTGTTATCCTCCTTAAAGTTTCTATCTGGGACCAAAAATTTGAACTAACACATACTGATCCCTAATCATCAGAGTCCACCACTATCATAAACCCTGTTAAAGTCTGCAAAGAAACCTACAGACACTGTATCAATGTTAGAAGAAACCACAGCAGAAACTTTCAAGTCATCTTCTCTCTCAGTCATGGGCCAAATACCTGTAATTTAAAAAGAAAAATAGTATTTAATCATAAAGTAAATCTGTTGTACATAGTTTTTTTTTTAAAGAAAAAAAAAAGGTCTTTCTATATCATATTATCAAAAAACAACCCCACAAACAGACTCACAGTTGAAAACTAATACATTACAGAATTAGAAACCTGATAATAATTCTTCTCCCTCTACAATATTTTAAAGAAAAATTATCTTTCTCAAAGATATTAGCTAAGATGAGACCCAGTGACTGACCAGTGTTGGGAATTTCAATGCCCTCTCCTTAACACTGCTAGTAGAAGTCCAAACTAGTACCACCTTTTTGAAGGAAAGTTGGTCAGAACTATCAAAATGTAAAACATACATATCCTGTGGCCTAACAATTCTACTCCTTAGCATTTGTCTAATACTCACAGACATGCCCAAGAAGGTTCTCTGCTGCTAGTAGCTATTAAAAACAAACACAGGGGCACTTGGGTGGCTCAGTTGGTTAAGCATCCAACTTCCTCTCAGGTCATGCTCTCACGGTTTGTGAGTTTGAGCCCACATTGGGCTCTGTGCTGACAGCTCAGAGCCTGAAGCCTGCTTAGGATTCTGTCTCCCTCTCTCTCTGTCCCTCCCCTACTCACACTCTATCTGTCTGTCTCTCTTTCTCTCTCTCTTTCTCAAAAAAAATTTTTAAACATTTAAAAATAAATAAATCCTTTAAAAAAACAAAAACGACCTAATCTCTATATTTCTATTAAATGGGAAATAGTGGACTGCATTATGGTATATCCACAATGTGCAATGTCCGATCCAAAGCTCAAAGCTATAGGTAAGAGTGTTGTCCAACTTTATTCACTGATAAGAAAAGAACTCCAAGATGTGCCTGTTATTAAAAAAAAAAAAGAAAAGCAAAACATAGTACAATGGATCTAATATGCATATATTTGTGAAAAAATGATTAAATAAACATGAAATTTTTTTAAAGAATACACAAACAGTCTTGATAAAGGTTACCTTTAAAAATCTAGTGGAACCAGGATCTGGGAGTTTACCTTTTTAGTACTGTTTAGAATTATTTTCACCATATCCATATAATTTTCACAACTTAAAATTTCACAATTTAAAAAATGTTTACAGTGCATAATGAGATATGATGAACAGGTAACAGAGATTCTAAATAAACAGGAAACATAAATATATGTATGCACATATATATGTATGTGTATATGTTTTATATATATGTAACATATTTGTAATACGTGTTTTATATATATAAATAAAAAACAGTCTATTGGCTCCCACATAACATGCACTTTCCCCTCTTCCTCCTTTGTGGCAGAGCCCTAATTCTGCTAAGACATTTGCCTTTCATCTCAAAGTCATCCGATTGGTCAGGTCCAATCATGGTGATTTCATTCCCCGACCATTTTGTTGTTTTAGGCATAAGCATGGGGCTTAACCCTGGCAGACGTGAGGTGAGGGAAGTTGGGAGTAGGGGATGCTGGCACACGCTTCTGGGAAAGCTATTTCCCCATAATAAAAAGGGAGACGTGGGAGAAATATCTCTCTTTTCCCTGGAAATAATATTTCCACATAATACCTGGAACTGCTGAAATTACCCTGTGACCCTGGGAGGAAACATCCCTCACACACCAAAGATGGCTGACTGAAAACATGGAAAGTTCTTGGATGATGCCACAGGAATCAGCTGTCTCACAAAGAGAAGAACTGCGTACAATTGCCATCAGGCCTTGCCACCAGTACTGCAATATTTGGTGTAGGAATTTCTATAACTTACTTAGTGAGAGTACAAAAGCCTGCTTATTGCCTACCCAATAACCACTCTTCAGTCCTTTACTAAAAGAAGCCCAATTTCGTTCTAAGTAACAAAAGTGCTCAGCTGAAACACTAAATTTCCCAGCCTCTTTTGCAGCTTGGGGTGGCCAGTAAGATGTGAGTAGAAGCTGCTCAGGGTGTGGCTTCCAGGAAAGATCCTTAAGGGGGCTGACTCAGCTGCAGATGTGAGGGCAGGAGTTCCAGAAGCCTTCCTGGACCAATAGATGACCCTGGGATAGAAGGAACTGGAGTCCCTGATGACAGTGGAACGGCCAAACCAACCCTGGTTTGCCCATCACTGGACTTCTTTTCCATGGGAAAGAAATAAACCTCTGCTTGTTTAAGCCACCTTATTTGAGTATGGTATAATGTGCAGCCAGACACAGCCCTAAACAATACATCTTCCGACAAGGTTACCAAGTACAAATACTTCTAGTACTCAATGGTAAAGGCAATTTAGTTATCCTAGACTTATTTCCAATGGAGTACAGACTTTCATCTATATGCCCCTTTCTTGGGGGCACCTGGGTGGCTCAGTTGGTTAAGCATCCAACTTCCGCTCAGGTCATGACCTCATGGTTCTTGAGTTCAATCCCTGTGTCGGGCTCTGTGCTGACAGCTCAGAGCCTGGGGCCTGCTTCGGATTCTGGGTCTCCCTCCCTCTCTGCCCTTCCTCCATTCAAGCTCACTCGCTCTCTCTCACTCTCTCTCTCTCAAATGAACACTTAAAATTTTTTAAAAAACACATTATATGCCCCTTTCTTACTGTTCTCTTTCCCTTCCTTAAGATACAACTGTGTGGGAGGCTATCTCAGTACCATACCCATTCCTTCACACCCACCCCCAGGTAGAGAACATGATCAACTGGCTAAATCATAAGAAAATTCTGTCTTTGAAAGTACCTAATGACAGATGTTGTTGACTGCTAGTAAAAGAAATGCTAGGCAGGAATCACACTAATGAGTATGAAAAGCTTCAAAACCCATGAGCCATACAGAAATTACTATAATTTCATGCTTACAACATACATTCCTCATATAACTTGCACACATAAAATCAGCTTCAAAAACACTTTTATTACAGTACATAATATACACCATGTGTACAACAAAATATACTCTTTAAAATGGCTTTAAATTTTGCTGAAACTCTTGCTTTGAAGAAATAAAAAAAGCTCTAAGTACTGAAAATAATCCACAAGACTGTGAACTTATTTTTGCAAGTTAAAGTCACTATACTAAAATAAGTGGCCTTTAAACGGATAATGAAGTCATCAAAATGTTCAGAGTTTTAACTTCTCATAATCTTCTGCAATGAGATGATTTGGTGCTTTTATATAATTACAGGCATTTTAATAAATATACCACAGTTTGTAAGGTTACAGAATACTAACTGTTTTCAATATCTAGAAATAGAATATTTTAAAAGTCCCTCTTTCTTCCAAGTTTCTCTTTGGGTATTTGTTGGTGGTGGTGGTGGAGGTGGTTTTTTTGTTTTGTTTTGGCTTTTTGTTTTGTTTTTTTTTTTTTTTTTTTGGTAGGACTAAAATCAACTGATGATGGCAAAGAAGGGGCAGGGAACTTTAAATATTAACTAAAATTTGAGATTATATAAATAATGAACTTTGCACCCAAGACTGTGGGCACATCTCTAGTTTAATTAGCAGTTATTTCAAGATACACAGAAGGATCAAGGTAATGACAACTTTAAAACAGGCCAACCCTTCTCACTCAAGGGTATCACTATGGTCTCTCTCTCTCTCACTCTCTCTCACACACACACACACACACACACACACACAACTTTTCGCTGTAAGGGATTTTTCTGAGAAATCTTTATACAATTGAGTGTTAATCAAAATATCATTAGCACATAGTTTATGGAAAGGGCAAAATCTCAAGACACAAAATCTAACGTGAAAAGCCACATTAAATTTATTTAATGAACTCTGGAAATTTCACATTTCATATATATGCCACACTTCTCCAATTATATTTTTAAATGACAAAAAGAGACTTATAATACCATTAATCCCCAAAACACTAGTATCAAAACTGGAGGAAAAAGCTGTATATTGCAATGTGACACATCCAATTTTAACTGTTCTCCATGTGACAGGGGGCTGCTGACAACTAACAGGTTTTCTGTGATCAGAGGTATTTAAAACACCTACGTCTCCCTGGTTTACTTTCAAAACTTCTAAAAGGACATGTGAAGCCAAGGCATAATAATTTGACTTTAATAATCATATTTGTTAAATATATTATCTAAATTTCTCTGAATCTGTCTTCATAATGGAGACTCAAAAATACTTAAATCTAGTACAGTGGCTGGATCGGGATTAAGACTGGCTCTGATGTTTTGGTTGGCTTTTGATGCTCTGCTTCTTTTATTATAACTACTTGTTTTAACATTTCTCTTCCGTGAAAATAGTTCATATGTCTTCTCATTAAAAATATACTTTTACCTGACTCCAAGAATAAAACTTAAGATAATGTTTTTCACATGTCCAATTCACACGGCCGGATTGGTATTTTATTTCTCCTTTTAATTTACAATAAAATTATACCCTTGTGAATCCCAAAGTAAGATAATATTGAGTTGTTCAAAATGCAGAAACTGAAAATATCAGCCTCTGAGTCATTAGGAATCAGCATACTGCTAGCTACACTCCATTCTGACGGCTAATTAACTGCATAGCTAAATTATATCACTAAGCTGCAAATGACCACAGTTTTAGTAACAAAGTGGTAACTTATATACTGCTTTGGTTTCTTTTAAAACAAACAACTAAAACATTTTCAGGGATATTAGAGGTTAATAAATTGACCACCCTAGAGTTTAAGGTTCTTCTCATGTACTGAAACAACTACCCAAATAAGTACTTTGTTCATTTCTTACAGCTAAAGAAAAAAATTCGACATTACTGTCCCTGAAACACACTAGAAAAAGCATTATCTTAAATGGGACATTTTTTTTCACAAGCTATAAAATGCAAACTAAGCACAAAGACCTTGTATGCTAAACAGAAATACTGTTTTTACAAATATGATTTTAATTAAGCCTGGAGGAGAAAATTAACTAATATATTCAAAACATTATCCACATAAAAAATAATATGAATTTTATAATGAATACTAAAATAAAATCATACAAAATTGCAAATGAGATACCTTGTGATTTATTAACATCTTTGATGATTTTCTGAAGTTCTTTCAATTCTATATCAAGTTCATCATAGTGTAGTTCTCTAGATTCAACTTTTGGAGCTTGGAACAAAGAAGGGTCTGTCCCCAGGTATGAACACTGCAAGTGACCATCATCACTCAGCGTGACTATCACTCCCTTTAAATCACTACAAAGAGAAAGAGAAAATGAGATATAATTCAAATTTTTGGTGGATTTAGACTTGACCAACAACATTTTTATTCAATTCAGCTTTAATATGCCGTTAAGAAAATGACCATATATATATATATTTCTGAAGACTCAATTCAAATGTTTTAAGCATGATTTATATTTATATAAACACTCCTAATGTTAGGATTAATTATGGGGGGGGAGGTAGAAAACCTTAACAATTATTATAATGGCTGTCACTTTGGGGGACCTAGCTACATAATAAATCATGCTAGCTCCAAGAGCTTTTCAAGTAACTATCACTTAATCCTTGCTCCAGCTTCCACCTGGCAGATTCATAATAATTATGTGAACACTTGTGGAACTACAATGGATCAAGAGCTGAGCTACAGGCTGGCTGAAGACCATGGCTGAGGCATAGGAGCAAAGACAGGACACTCCAGCAAATGATGAAAAACGTTAGTGAAGTAAGGCCTCCAAGACTTTGAATAGAAATGAACTGAACTCCTTGATCTTTTCCTTTTCCCTCTCTCTACCTTGGGGACCTGTGTTTGCACTTTGCCCAGGGCTCCCCACCATGGCATCCCTTACACACACTGCTACTCAAGCAGCCACAGTCACTCTTGCTCTTCACTCTGAGAAAGAAGATCCCATTTCCTCATTTCATGGCTCTTTCTCTACCACTCTTCAAATTCTGATTATCTCTTTTCCTCCCCATTCTTTCACTCTTCCTTCTTCCCTAGGCTACCTTATCTTTTTCTTTTTTTTTTTTTTAATGTATGATGCCACTTATTTTATTTTACTTTAAATCTTTACTTTGAGAGGGGCGCCTGGGTGGCTTAGTCGGTTATGCGTCCGACTTTCGCTTAGGTCATGATCTCGCGGTTCGTGGGTTCGAGCCCCGCGTCGCGCTCTGTGCTGACTGCCAGCTCAGAGCCTGGAGCCTATTTCAGTCTGTGACTCCCTCTCTCTCTGACCCTCCCCTGCTCACGCTGTCTCTCTCTCTCTCAGAAATAAATAAAACATTAAAAAAAAAAATCTTTACTTTGAGAGAGAGGGAGAGAGAAAGAGAGAGAGAGAGAGAGAGAGAGAGAACCCCAAGAAAGCTCTGTGCTGAAAGCACAGGGGGTCTGTCTCACAAAGCCATGAGATCATGATCTGAGCCAAAACCAGGAGTCCGTCGTCCAAGAGACTGAGCCACCCAGGGGTCCCTCTTTTTTACTCTAGACATTAGCCCCAACATATAAATTAAAGATAAACTTAGCACACATTTTCAAAAGTTCTAAGTTTTCCTGAACTTGCTATTAAAATAATTTCATTGAAATGAACACTATTTGCTTCTTCCCTAGCTTACTCAGAAAAAAAAAGAAGTCAACATTTTCATAAGTCATCTTGAGGTGATTATTTAAGGAATTTGTCTGATTTTCATTTGTTATGTTTTCTAGTGGTCTTTTATTTAGAAAAAAAGATTCCTAACCCTGTTCTAAAGATTAAATATTAATGAGAATTAACAGAAACTTTGAGAGAAAAACAACTTGAAAAAAATGTTGCTATTCATCTGGAAAAAAGAGATATAAGGTATATACAGGTCTAAGCCTTATTCAGAGTGAGTAAGAAATCTAAAACTCCTCAATTTTGGATCATGGCAACTGGTCAGCTCATTAATCTAAAAGCTTAACTTGGTTGTGAGTAGATACTATCTTTCCTATCAAGTGGCCACCAGCATCCACTTTACCACCTACCTTCAACACAACATTCTTTTCATTACTTTTTTGAAAAGTTTAAATACTATGTATGTATATCCAGTTCTTATATTTGACACACAAGTCAAAAAGTGCTTGAATTTTACCTCTACTTCTTCAGGTTCTTGCTGCTTAGAACTAACATTTTTTTAAGGTTTTATTTAAATTCCAGTAAGATAATATACAGTGTAATATTTTTTTAAATGTTTTTTATTTATTTCTAGGAGAGAGAGAGAGAGAGACAGTGTGAGCAGGGGAGGGCCAGAGAGAGAGGGAGTCACAGACTCTGAAACAGGCTCCAGGCTCCGAGCTGGCAGTCAGCACAGAGCCCGATGCGGGGCCCGAACCCACGAACCGTGAGATCATGACCTAAGCGAAAGTCAGACGCTTAACCGACTAAGCCACCCAGGCGCCCCAATATACAGTGTAATATTACTTTTCAGGTGTATACTAAACTGATTCAACACTTCCATACAATACCTGGTGCTCATTTCAGCAAGCGCACTCCTTAATCCCCCTCACTTATCGTACCTGACTCCACATTTACCTCCCCTCTAGACACAACATTGCCATATGTACTTTCTCCAGGACTTAACTCAAACACGGTCAGCGCTACACAGTCCTCTGGTATGACTTCAGAGAAACAAAAAATAAGTTGATATCACTGATTCAACAGCTAAAAAATTAGACTAAGAGTTGGGTTCTAACTCTGACTCTGCCCCAATATAGCAGAGTCAACTTAGAGAAGTCTTCCTAAATGTTATCTCTAAAATTAGAAAGTGAGACTAGATGATCCTCAAAAATCTTTAAGTTTTATGAACTAGTTCCGTCAATCTAGGTCAGAAAATAAGTACTCCCCCCAATAAATTATTTTCCTAGAATAAAATGTGTGAAAAGCAACCCCTTAGTACCTCTGAGCTGTACCCTTTCTTTGCAGGCAGCTGAAGCCACCTAGTGGCCAAAGAAATCTTAACTTCCAGGCCTGAGGAGTCCATTTCAACAAGGCAACTTTCTGTCCCCTCTGTTTTATGACTGTGGTGTATTCTCCATTCCCCAACCCCACTGAGGTCTGGAAACTCAATGAGTCTCAGGGAACTCTAGAACACTAAAGATCTTTGGGCTAGCTTCTCAGAGAATGTGGAGATCATCAGTTTTTTTTTAACCCAAAACAGTCTTTCCATTTTATCTTTACCCTTCAAGTGGTCCATAATATATAAAACCTAGATGATCCAACACAAGTATCCCTCAGCATCGAAATTTATTTGGTCTTTGAACTGAATAACTTATTATTGAATCAGTTTTGTTCCACTGTTTTAGACAGCAAATATCCACAATTGAGACACACGAGATTTATCTAAAAATGTATCTAAACCTCTTAACTTTTTGGGTACAGATAGAAAGAGTTTGAATAATAGTGCATATATGTCTTTCTTCAGACTCGAAAAAGAAAAAAATCATTACTACTATTCAACCTGTCCAAATACAAAAGGGAGGAGCTAGGGTCTTCCCCTCATTGGAAGAATTTAACAATGGTCACCAGAATGTCTTAACAATAAATCACAAAATTCAAAGCAATTTACTTTTTTCTTCAGTCACAACTGAATCATCACATATAAGTTAGATACAATAACAGAAATTTAGACTTCAGATAAATCCATGTAACACTGCACAGTTTATTCCACAGGAATGAGAATAAGCTCTAAAAATTCTAAAATAAATGAGTGGAATTTCTGTCTAAAACACCTATGATGGGGCAGGCACTTTGACTCTGGCCTACAGTACTACTTAATAAATAAGTAATGTCATCACTTGGTATCTTAATTCAAAGGGCAAATTTTAAAATATATGTCATTCCTAAAGCTAAGCCAAATTTAAGTATAAAGAGAAAAAAGAAAAACACAGTCAAGATATGTTTTAATCTTTGTACTTAAAGAACATTTTGTTTAACAATATTATCCATTTGAGTTAATTTGTAAGGTTCTGTGAATGACAGAACATTACTACTTGTGTCTTTATAGAGTTAACATCATCAAAACTAAGGTCTCCACATTATTACTGGTCCTTGAAGCACATCAGCTAACCCAAGCCACCAAAATAATGTATTTTACGAAGAACCAGGGTCAAAGATGTTATATTCCTAGGATACATAATAATTCTGTGTATTTAGCAATGGGGCATGAAAATAAACAACAGAGTTTGCTCAGGAATCTGAAAGTAATTGTTTCATCACTCAGTAAACAGATCCCTGCCTTAACAATACATTCAACCAAAATTCCAGATGGATTTTAAAAGTTAAATTTTAAAATATGAAACTACAAAAATATTTATCTGCCCTTGGGATGGAAAGACCTTTTGCTGCAAGAAAGCAATGGAGGAAACTACAAAGCAAAGGATCACTAAATTAAACAACAAAAATTTTTAAACTTGTTATATGCTTTAAAAAAATAGGGTGAAAAAGAATAAAAGACAGACAAATTTAGGAAAACACTGGCAACCAATGTAAAGTACATACAAAGATATATATATCTGAATATATCAACTGCGATATAACATTGCAGGCACTATGGCACAGTAGGAAGACAGTGCTGTTACTACGCATGTGGAAGCTAAACAAAGGTAGAAGGCACAGAAGCTGGATCCTGACCTACAAGTAGATCCTGGGACATGGAAAAAACAAAAACAAAAAAAGGCAGACTCTGGCTTTGGTGAACTGATTCAGTCTTACTACTTTAAATACCCTTTTTGTGCCAGCCCCCATGTTTATATCTCCAAACAGAAAGATCTCTAAGTCTAGCTGTGTACATCCAGCAGCTTACTTGATATCTCCACTTGGAAGGCCAACCAACAGCTGAAGTTGAACGTGGCTACAACTGAATTCCTGACTCCTCCCCTCCAACTCAAGCCTGTCCCTCTCGCAGGTTTACATATTTCCAAGACAAGGAGATGTATTAAACAGTCAGTGAAACAAAGAAGTCCATAGTGACTGGAACAAAGAAAGTTCAGAGGAAGATTAGGTAAAATGGGGCCAAGAAATTACAGAGTTAAATCATATAGGCCTTGTGAACTTTGTTAAAAATTGTGCATTTTTATCCTCAAGCAATGGCAAATCACAAAAGGTTTTTAAGTATAGGAGTGAGGAATGATTCATCTTTGACAAAGATCTCTTCTTTGTCTGACTGCAGTATGGAGAAACCACTCTGAGTGGAGTTAATATATTAAGTTCAGGTAAGGAAAATGGTAGCCCAGGAAAAAA